AACTATCGGACTTGCTGATAATACATTTTAACGAAATATAATCATTAATACTTGACCCATTAACTGGAATTTTCTTATTTCGAATAATTTTATATTTCTTTAAAGGCGGTCATAAGAAAACTTTCCACAATAGTTATTGTTGCACAAGTTTTGTTTGCCTTTTTTGTTTACAATGTTAATGGTTCGTTTGTTTACAATTCTGGCTAGATTCGTTAAACGGTCGAACTTTGAGACTACTTTGGTAGATATTTTTTATATCCAAATTAACTAATATAGTATTTTTCAATGAGTCAGATTCAAGAATATCAGTCTATTCTGCTGTAACTAATAAACTGCTCTGGTAGTATTGTAGATAAAATGTACGTATGTACGTATTTTTGACTATTGGTCGTCTTCAGTACGGTGCAGCCAAGTTATAAAAGGAGCATGTTAATTTGGGAAAGGATCACTACATTAGCAATGCGACCAATTTGTGGCATTAGAGTTAGAAACCCTGATGATTTCCAGGACACCAACTAACAAAAACCATCTTCTTATACCGTCAAATTTAAATGATTGATTAAAAACTATTCAAGTATTACTATAAGATGAATAAATTCATTTATTTTTTATCTCTCACTCTGCTGTGCGTGGTTGCCTTTTATTTAAACAATAAATCACTTACGACCTTGAATAAATGTTAAAATTTGTGCAGATGTTTTAAGAGGTTAATAATGATTAATCTAAATCTGTTCAGGCTGCCGAAGTTCCTCGAGATTAGGCCTGTTCACGTGTTCGAAGATTGAATGTCTCGTCGTTTTGATATGCAGTGGGGAATATCCAATTGACGTATGCAAATGATAAGAATATATTACGTCTAATGTATTAATTACATCAAATATCAACGATTGGCTGATATTAAGATATTAGTTTCGTCATATCCACTTCTATATAAGACAATCCTACTCAAGCAAGTAGTTCAAAATCCTTGTTCTGGTTGTAGTAAGTTGCGCAAAACACAATTTGCTATTTTCTTCTGCTTTTAACTATTATTGTGGCTTCTTTGGATGTTAACTGAGACACTGGCCTATCTATGATATTAATTGAACAATTGTACGGGACTGTCATCGTTTTCATATCATTTTTCGAGTATGTCTGCCTCTGTAGTAAACAAGTGCAAATATCACTCACCCACTCACCTCATGGTCAATGTCAAATCTCGGAAATTGTTTTCATTGTTACGATTTTAAATCTTTCGTAATGCTAATACACAATAAGATTTGTAGGTACTCGAAAGGATCGTCCACAATAAACAATGCTTTTAGCTTATTCTAAAAATTTATGACCATTAAAATAAGGCGGACTTAAAAGTACCGTTAGGAAGTAACTATCAAAAAAAAATCTAAACGTGGCAGAATAAGAGTTAACATATTGGTGATGCATCAGAGAAATAGTCCTTATTTAACAATCAAAAGACTGATATGTTTTTTTTTTTGTCCACACTTATGACAAGTCAAAAGAAAAGGTAAAAAAGTATTTTTGAAGTGTGTATATTTTAAATAATTCCTAGCTGAGCGCTTTCGGCTTTACGAAGCCATCATCGGAGCTATGCTACAATAAAATGTTCTTATAAGTACTAATTGGTGAAGATTTTAATTTTTTAACTTACGTCAATTTATAAATACCACTACAATGGAGAGATCTCATTTCCTTGTATGTCGAAATATTGATTTTTTAGTTGTTAAAATTCTTAAAAAACATATAAAAAAAAACATAAAAAACCGACACTGGACTTCACAGACACATTAAAAAATTGAAAAATTTTTTGTCATGGTACGGGTGTAAGAACCCGACCATTGATAGCTGTGAGGAGGTAGACAGAATAGAACTAATGAAATCAAACGTCTGTCCTTTTAAACGATTTTTCAAAAGTGACAGGTGACAAATGTCATATATAGGAAATAGAGATTGTGTTTTAAATTCTTACAAAATTATTTAATAGTTTGGAATTACTAATAGTCATCAAAGACTTTCTAAAAATTAAGTTTTTAAATTAAATCTTATGTGTTCATCACATCATACAGAATGACATTAGTTTAGTAAACAGAAGTGGTATTTACAAGCTGTCCTGTGGTGACTGTAATATGACTTATGTAGGTAGAACAATGAGAACTCTGAATCAAAGAATCAAAGAACACCTCAATAACCCAGAAAAATCAAACTTTGGATATCACATTAAATTTAATAATCATTCCTTTTCTCCTTCTGAAAACTTTACACAACATTCCCAATAAAAACTTTAGACTCATGAATCTCTTAGAAGATCTTGAGATATCCAAAGAAATGAAACTAAACCCTGATTGTTGCTTAAACACACAAATCAACCTCAATTGCAATTATAAACCTCTTTTTAAATTATTATGGGAGACTTTAGAGGAAGAAGGGTGACCTCATGCAATCTTATTATATTTTTTATAATTTTATATTTTTATTAATTACTATTTATAACTGGGAATAAGCCACATTAAAGATAAAAATACATTTATTGACGTTTCAATTTCCAATTCGGAAATCGTTCTCAAAATACAAATAGTAAATTAAACAAATTTTGTTTTTTGTTACATAGTGAAAAAATTCTTCTGATAATTTAATTTTATCTGACTCATTTATATTGACAATTCAGACATACATTATGCATTTTAAAGTAGACGACTTTAAAATGATATTGCCAATATTGTTGATATATTTATATTTATATTTTTTAAACAAAAATTTTAAACTTTATTAGAAATTTACAACATTTTGTAATTCATTTGACAGTAATTCTTAATTGAAACATGAAAAATATATTCTTTAAAATTTTTATGCAAATTTCTTACACATTTTCATCAAGAGATACAATTCTCAATACACTTAAGTATCAGATAATGTAACATTAATACCATGTTTCTTCTTTATATTATTGTTGAACAATCTGAGCCCTTGTTTCTTAAGGATGACTGTCAGATTTAACATACATTGACCTTGAGCAATGACTTGAGTGAATTTACAAAACTTATGTCATTCTGTATGATGTGATGAACACATAAGATTTAATTTAAAAACTTAATTTTTAGAAAGTCTTTGATGACTATTAGTAATTCCAAACTATTAAATAATTTTGTAAGAATTTAAACACAATCTCTATTTCCTATATATGACATTTGTCAACTGTCACTTTTGAAAAATCGTTTAAAAGGACCGACATTTGATTTCATTAGTTCTATTCTGTCTACCTCCTCACAGCTATCAATGGTCGGGTTCTTACACCCGTACCATGACAAAAAATTTTTCAATTTTTTAATGTGTCTGTGAAGTCCAGTGTCGGTTTTTTATGTTTTTTTTTATATGTTTTTTAAGAATTTTAACAACTAAAAAATCAATATTTCGACATACAAGGAAATGAGATCTCTCCATTGTAGTGGTATTTATAAATTGACGTAGGTTAAAAAATTAAAATCTTCACCAATTAGTACTTATAAGAACATTTTATTGTAGCATAGCTCCGATGATGGCTTCGTAAAGCCGAAAGCGCTCAGCTAGGAATTATTTAAAATATACACACTTCAAAAATACTTTTTTACCTTTTCTTTTGACTAGTCGTTATTTATTTTCATTGGTGCTGTACGGATGCATGTAACGAAAATGAGAAAGCGTAGATAGATGTGTGGAGTGACAAAAAAGCATAAAATTAAGAACGAAGATATTAGGAGTTAAGTCTAGGATTAAGATGGTTAAGATGGTTTGGTGATTTTCAACGTACTTCACCATTCCACGGTAATACTTAATAATTCGGATATTGTATTGTTCACAATACTTTCGTCATTTATTTTTGACCTAAGACCTCTGATTTGTTTTTATTCATTAATTTTTTTCTATATCAATTCCTGTAATGTTTTTCATTAAATCGACGAGTTATTTACAATTCGATTTAATTTTAATCTTTCTAGATATCCAATGAGTTCGAGAATTCCACGTTTTGTGACTAAATGAACATTGACCTTGGTATACATTTATTCGGCATCAAAAAGTTAAATATCGCTATAATAATTATATGTACTCGTATTACGTACCTATTTTTCCCCACTAAACCATTTACCTAATGAACCCTCTGTTCCGTATTATGTTATCAAAACTTTACAACCTCCTTTTTTAAACAAAATATTGATAAACAATTTAGTCATCAACAAAGGAGGTATCTGGTCAGGTCATAGTACATTCTATTACTGCTGCAGCAGTTGCAGCACAATAAAACACAGGTTAACTATCTAAGACTAAACAGAACAAACGACGAGTAAATACGAAATCAAATCTGTTTGCAAAAGGTACCAATTTTCTCTACTTGAGGATACGAATCGATGTTAAAATATTGACGATTAGAAGCTCGAATAATTAAAGTAAACAAAAAATATGGAAGCCTAAGAATAATTTCATAATATTAACAGTAACTCATGCCAGTGAAACATGGATGATAAAAAATCGGAGAAAATCATATTAGGGAGGTGCAATAGAAAATCATCTAGGGAGGAAAATCTACGGAGGAAAAAAACTGATAAATGATGGGAAAAAAAGACAAATAACGAATTATAATTATTGTGTGAGGAGCCAAACATTACACATTTCGTAGGAGCACAAAGGCTGTGATGGTTGGGCATGTTCAAAAGAGGGATCAGGATAGAAATGGTCTTGAGCAAACGACCAATGTCATCCACCTACTGAAAACCAGTCAATAAAGAAAATATATTGTTTTTGTCAATTGTAATATTAATGAAAATTTTCTAAGCAATTTATTGTAAAATTTGTGAAATGTAATAATGTAAAAGATATACATTACGCCTAAGCCTACAAAGGCTATTGAGCAAATAGATATGTAGGAGTATAATAGATGGGTATGGGGATAAGGAGAAATGTTAATAAAAATCTAATAATGTAAATGACTGTGTAAGATATAAATACAAACAAATGTTTTCTTTTTGTTTCAGAACAATTTTTTGGAAAGAGGCATGTGCAGTACCTTCTGCTCTTTAGTGTAAATGTTTTAGCGTATGGATTAAGAAATATTTTAAATTTAGCCGTTATTGCCATGGTTAGCACATCACCACCAGAGGGAGTCACCGTAAGTTGTTTGTTTAAGTGTTATGTAATGTTTTCGTGTACCAAAGAAATAAAACTAAACATACTATTAATTTAATAAAGTCTACAAAATAATTACATTTAATAATAATTGAACTATAGGAAGTATTTTTATAGCCATACCAAAATAGGTATTGTCCATAGCATTATGTCTGAATGATCCCACTATTAGTATTATTAAAATTTTTAGAATCGCAAAAATGTTGTTCGGCATTTTTTCAGCTGTTTTCAACCAGCCCATTGTTCGTAGAACTTACTTATATAGAGAATATTTTAAAATAAATTTCGTAGCACCCAATTTATTTGTGAGTAAAGTTGTATAGTTGCTGTTAGAAGTGTTATTAAATTCTTTTTAATGTACATTATTATATTAATATCCAGATTTAGCCATACGGTTCACACTCCCTCTAGGGGAAAATACACTCATCCCAGATACCTGCGGTATCAAAACGATTGAGCTCTGGTGGACTCTGCCCGTGTTATCGAGTCCTAAGTGATTTGATACGTCAGTGTATCTCCCAAAAATTTTCAATAAGTACAATAAATAATATTATTAAAATACAAAACTAAAATATACCAGGTTCAAAATATAGCCGAAACACCTGGATAGCTGACAAAAAATATGGGGGCGCAGTTTGACTTTACATCTAGTCATGATTTCAGATATAAAGTCAAAATATGTTAACAAAGGAACCAAATTTTAAAACAAAGCCACGCGATGAGCGTAAATAAACATAAAATTCGCAAATTTTTTGATTTTTTGCGTATATTTAAATTTTTTTTTGTATTTTCGAAAGTAAAAATCTCATGCTTTGTCGTTTTACAAATGTATTAAACCTCTTTCCCACCTGATATCGTCATAACCACTTCCTTAAAATTCGTGATAAGTGAGTTCGATTATTTTTCGTATATTTTATGTAAGTCGGATAATGTTAACGACCAATAGCTTTATATAATTGTTAAAAATCAATAACCTCGTCTGTTACACTTTAGACGTGCAAGGCCGTAGACCTCGTAGATTAACAAGAATTATCAATTGAGTTGATAATTCTTCCGATGGGCTCTTGCCTAATAATCGATTCATAAACAGAACCTTGATGAAGAATACTATCGACTCCACAGTGTCCTTGGTTTATTACAAATTTTCCATTAGTTTATCTTATTACATTGAACTTCAAGATTTTTAGTTTAATAAGAAAACAAATAGTACAATTATCGTTTAAAAAAAAATCAGATAAGTTACAAGCAAGTGCCAGCTACTGTATTTTATTCCTGCGTTAAACATTGTATGAGAAATATTGTATCTCTCATACATCAGAAAGTAACTTAATTTTGTAAATGATAATTTAGTTATCGGGCTACTTTAATGTTGCTTCAACTAAATAGTTTAGTTATTAGAATCTTTTTCGTATAATTTGCAGTAGACATTATTCTTTCACTGCTCCTCTTTTATCCTATTCCTTTTAACTCATTACAACTTCAAATACTGCGGTCGTTGTGTTCATTAAATAATCTATATCCATAACGAGGCAAAAAGATGATTCAGAGGCAAAATTACAGGAAGTGACCTCCTCCATTGGACTTTGGAGTGTGTTACCTACCTATATATATATATATATATATATATATATATATATATATATATATATATATATATATATATATATGTCTTCATATCAAGGCGAGATCCGTTTGTATCATAAGCTATACAAAATGAGATCCGTTTTGCAAGGCGAGATCCGATTTTGGATCTCACCTTGTATTCACGTGTATATAGTGACATCTCGATGTAACAATGATGGGGGTACAAAGAAATCGATTTTTGTCTGGACCTCATTTTGCACCCCTTTTGGTGAATTTTATATTGCAGTAGTTCCACTAAATCCGCTGTAGAGGCAGTGCGAGCGATCCGTTGTGTATATGCTAAATATACATTTTGTAGACAACCCGAGATCCGGTAAATTTGGCAACATCGCAAATGAATTTTACAGTCAGACCTCTCACTCCCTTCGGCTTATTTCCGGTTTGAATAATATTATTTACATTATTAAAGAGCTCTGTCCAGAAAGGCGATTGTCAAATATCTCGAGAACTAGACGTCGTATCGAAAAAACTTAGGAATTCTTTTTTAATGGTTTTTCAAAATCTATATACTTATGCAATAGCAGGGTTCTTATTCTCCCTGCGAACGCGGTGGGTGTAGCAACTTTGAATTTTCAACTGGAACCCTTCATTTTTATTTAAATAAACATTTTGAAATTAGATTAGAACTATTATGGATATAGATATAAAATTAGAATAATTAATTAAATTAGAAATTTAGAGTTGAAAATACACAACTTTTGTGTGAATCTATAATAGCTTCTTTAACCAGTGGGAAGAGCTTCAAAATCGTCGTTTTGATGACATTTTTAGGAGTTAGATGATTTTAAGTAATTTTTTAGATAAAATTATGTAGAACACGTTGGTAAGTACTCGAAGTCTAAAAAATTTCGGAGACATTGTTTATTTGTAGTATTATTTTTTTACAATTTTTCTTCGCATATCTTCTCCACTGTTTGTTTTACAAAAAATGTCAAAAACTTATTTTAATCGCTTTTAAAAGACCTACAAAATAAATCTAACCGCGTTCAATTTGAATGAGAGTTACAAACACAAATCTGTTTTGCATATCATTTATAATTAAGGGACCAACTATGCTGTTCACGTACTATATTAAGATTCCACGGGAATATTTTTCAATATATGTAGTTCATTTATGCTAAACTTGGACACTGTACGTCAAATAGTTTACGAGCTATAGCTTTATAAACAAATTAACTTTATATTTCCTTTAAATTCGTTTACTGAAGAAAATCCAAATTTAGCTATACAGCTCGCACTCCCTCGTAGGGGAAAATTCACTCATCCCAGATACCCACGTTATCAAAAGGATTGACCTGTGGGACTCTTTCTGTGTTCGATTCCTAGGTGACTTGGTACATCGGGGTTTGTCCCAAAAATTTTCATACATTATTATCTAGTATTATATAAAGCTTATTAAGGACGTTGTAACGGCGTTAAAATTCAAAAGCTTGTGATATATAAAACATCTAAAATTGCAACGGTTTTTCCCTGGCAGCAAATTTCACGTTCAAGAACAAAGGATAGTAATAAAAACAATTAAATCTATGTACCTATTTCTTAATTATTATCTTGTGTTAGTTATCTTACTCTATGTTAGACTCTTCATTACTATAAAAAGAAGTAACACTCTCTATGGTTAAAATTGTTCACGTTTATCACCTTTTTTGTAACATTTCACTTGGGCCATAATATATTTACAAGAACCAATGAATTTGATCTCGTTTCCGTTTACATGAGCATTGGAGCCCCTGTACAGTCTGACAATTAGAAAAAAACCAATATAATAATTATTCGTCACAAAAAGGTAAAAATAAACTCATCTTTTACACCTATTAGGAGTATAGTATATGTATGTATGTTTCTTCAACTTGGATTCCGTGCTTAAAACTGGTACCAGCTCTACATTTTCTTTACTCCAGCCAGTTAGCAACAGATTCGGGAGTCAAAGTCTTGGTGTCACACTACATACTCATACCTTCGTTTGGATGAGTATGTACACGAATATTATATATTATACTGTCTGAAGTAGGAGAAAGTTTATATGGACCATTACAAAGATTGTTAGTACTGGTCAAATACAAAACCAATCCTTTTAGGGTTGTAGAGGTTCTTGAACACTATTGATTTTAAAATTCTTGCATAGTCGCCAAATGATTTGCAGTTGGAGGGTTTGCCAACGGCTTGGATTAAACTCATACCTTTAAGAATGTGACACTTTTGTTACTTTATAATGGTAATGGTAGATATTTAGACATAACTGTAAACTGTCCTATTATAGAACCTAAGGCAGATTTATTTGATGGTATCGATAAAACTCCTACAGGTACAAGTGACATTGGATATGCTGTAAATTCATATTTGAAAATATTCTCATAATATTTATGTTACTTTCAATTGCCTTGGTTGTTAGTATTTTTTATAAAAGCTCTTGCTCAGCATGAATAATTTTTTTCTTTTCAGAGACAGTTTTATAGTGTTGGAAATGTTGAAAGTACTTCTTGTATGCTGATAAAAATTGGGAGTTCTAACAGTAAGAAGAAATTTTGCTAGGCTCTTCTCCATTTTTTTTTGTATATTTAGTAAGGGTATTTGAACATTTGGCGATGCAATCTTATTAGCTGAAATTACGAGAAGACGATCTACGCTTTTGAAAAATACATTAAATCGTAAAAAACTGATCATGTAGTTTTTGTACAGAATATTCGTCAATTTTCATCCGTTTTTTTTTTCTATTGTCTACGTTTTGACTTGAGTGGTTGCTTAGGTCTCATGATGCACGAAATTCATCTACCATCATGCCAATCATATTGTAGCTTAACAACCATTCGTCTAGTTTGGTGCTGGTTTTAATCAATCTCACGATTCCTCCTGCATCTTTTGAGTTTGTATTTATATGTTTCAAGCTGGATCTACAAATAGTTGGTTAAAGTTTCTGTTCAAACTTTTCACAACAAAATTTTTTCTCATAAAGTCTTCATGCAATTCTGGAGCCTTATCAGCAAGTTTGTACATGTCCAACAAATGTAATGTTCCCCAAAAAGAATAGTTCACATGGTCAAATGCAAAGAAGTAGGGGTACATTTTTCTAAAACTAGAACAAAAATGTATTCTCCAGTTTCCGCTTCTTTCAGCAAACGAAAATGGAAATGGACTTTACGGAAAGAAACATGCCGTAATCTGATTTTTGACTCAAGTTCACTGTCATACCTGCTGCTGTTCATTAAAATAATTTAAAACTTCTAATATTAAAAATCTCAGCTCAGTGGATTTCGTGCTATTAGTAAAAAATAATGCACAATGATGCACTTTCGCAATCGAATATACAACACAACAGAATTTCAATGTAAAATCGACCCT